AGAAAAGGAGTTTGGTTCACATACAATGATTTTAGATCTTTTTAAAACATGTAACTTATTTATTGAAATGAACTGGACATATATATGCATTAGCAGTTCTATGCACTGCATACAAAAACACATGAAACTTGTAATTGACGCATTATAAATAAAAGCAAGGATCTGTGTGCGGTGTCTCGGAGGCCTATGACACAGTGGTATCTTTGCCAGTCTCCAAATAAAAAATTTCAGCAAATATTGCAACTCATCCAATGTGAATGCGCCAAAGATTGTCCTGATGTCCCCTTTGACCAGCTCAGTCTCAGTAGTTAATCTTTGACCTTTGTTTTTTACCACCTAGTTATCAAGAATAATCTTTTTATTGGTAGTTAAACTTTGCTTATCAGTGTAATAACATATATAATACATAAACACCAAAGGTACCGCAGTCTCAGGTGAAGTTTTACAAATCAGTGCGATGGCTAGGGGCCTTGAGGACCAAACTTTGTTTCTCTAACCAGTTCACAAGACAGCAACTACTATTTTGAAAATAAAGTTTTCGTTATTTTTTATTGTATTTATGTGTGCATTTATCCTAATCATGTGTGGTGTTTGTTACAAGCACAAGCACACTTATTGCCAAGAGAAATGGTTTCAAACAATGTAAGTCCTAGATGTCTAAGGCTTTTGTACAGTACTGTACATATATATATATATATATATATATACAAAATCTGTCTTGGCCAGTCGACTACAAGTGGGTTAAGTGGAAAACCTTTTATACAGATTTTTTTTTTACTTTTCCTTTAACTTGCATTAAAAGTTAAGAACTTTTTTTTTTTTTTATTCCATAAAATCACTACTTAGTATGTATTAGATATATGGAAGTACCTATATGTAATAATAATGTTCTAAAACTAATCCTAACCTTAACTAAAGTGACCTAAACTTATCCTAACCTTAACTAAAGTGACCAAGAGAAGTCATAGATCATTTTTGTTGTTATTTTTATCTCGTATTCCTACAAAATCTGGGCATTTTTGTGATAAACATGCACCAAATGAGGAAGTGAAAATGGGGAATAGTTCTGGTTTGTGTTGTACTCCGCTGGATTTCGACAGATCAATCTCTGTTTGACTTGGTCAAGACAAAAAAAGAGGAACAAAGTTTGAATTCTGGAATGTTTATTTGGCTTTAGACAGCTGGACGGTAGAGCTGAGCTCTGCTGTACGTAGCTAAATTACCACTGCAAATAATAGGCATTTACATTTACATCAGACACCCCCCTCACTGTAGATTTCAAGAGGTGCCTTCATCAAGTAAACAGCCTAAAAAACAGTTGCACTTTACCCAAGTCAGCACAGTCAGCCAAAATTAAACTGCCATCTTCCACAGAGGGTGTGGCAACAAGCGATAGGCTAGGGGTAGATGTTTACAACCCCTATCTGCTGCCTCCACAACCCCCATCAGGCCTCTGAGATGGCACCCTGCGCCAGGGACGGCTTACTTCACTTTCTCCAGGAGCTCCTTGATGTCTGCCTCGATATCGCTGGTCAGGAAGTTCCTGCTGTAGCGTTTGAACGGCTCTCCATCTGGGTCGACCAGGAACTTCTCAAAATTCCACGACACGTCACTCCTGCAGACTGGGCTCCAGATGATGAACTTGGGGTCAGTCATCAAGGCCAAGGAGTTGTCACTGGGGTATGGAAGCCTCTCTTTGAGGTACACGAACAAGGGATGGGCATCTTTGCCGTTGACATCGACCTTCTCCAGAAGTGGGAAGCGAGGCTCGAAGCCATTCCCTGGACGCACGTACTTCAGACAGTTGAGGATTTCTTCGTTCTTGCCATTCTCCTGGTTTTGGGAGAAGAGAGAGAGAGAGAGAGAGAGAGAGAGAGGCATTCATTCAAGCAACCTTGAGGCTGTGATACTAATAGCTTGTGACCTAAGCACCCGCTGTAGAATGCCCTAGAGCCCTCATTATCAAGTTATGCACAGTCATGACCATGAAAACAACAGTTAGCAAACAGTTCCTACTACCTTCATACCCACCTGCACAGGAGCACTGAATCCTATTCAAGAAATATTACTCACTTAAACATTGTGAAGCAGTCTGATGGAACTAATGCACTAGACTAGATTTTCTGCATTCAGTTTTCTAGCTATTTGTAAAGACTTTCACATCAGAATATATCAAAAATTTGTTGAATTATTAGATCCTCTCACGTCTCATGAGTGTTACTGAAATATGAGACTGTCCAGCTTAATACGCTAATTATCCGTTCCACCTTAAATGTTGCCACTTACATTACAGCACCTCTACAGGCGGCAGACTGTATCTGCTGCACCCTGTAAGGTTGAGCGGGGCTATTAAAGTACGAGGCTGTCTAGCTTCTGACTCGAATTATCCGTTCCACCTTAAATGTTGCCACAGTCACATTATGGCAGCTGTACAAGCGGCATAATGTAACTGCTGCACATTTAAGGTTGAGCAGGGCTATTAATGTAAGAGGCTGTCTAGCTTCTTAATCGAATTATCCGTTCCACCTTAAATGTTATATTACAGCACCTGTACAGGCGGCAGACTATAACCGCTACACCATTTAAGGTGGAGCGGAAAAGTCGAACTTCATTTTCGTCCACTTCTGAAAGACTTGCGCATGAACCCCCTGGACACTAAAGGAGACGCTGACCCTGAGTACACCAATAAAGAAAAGTCTGAGGTGGACCCACCTGGTGGCCGAACTGGTTGCAGGGCACTCCCAGCACCACGAGCCCCTTGTCCGAGTACTTGGCATGGAGCTCGTTCATCTGAGTGTAGTCCCTGACCGTCGTGCCTCAGAGGGACGCCACATTTTCAATAAGCACGACTTTCCCCTTCAGCGAGGAGAAGTTCAGGAGGTCGCCAGACAGGAGTTTGGCTGAGAGGTCGTAGAACTTCTTTATGTTTCCTGCCATTCTGACTGAGAGCTCGGCGAGAAACTGCGCGGGTCTGGACGGTTCCTTCTTTTTAACTTTCAGTTCAGACTGGAGTCACGGGGCGGAGCCACAGGAGCTCATGCGCAGATCCTGCAGTTAATGTACGGATATAGATAGAGTTCATCATATTGCAAAAAAGATCCAGAAAAATGTTCTATTTTTTGAATGTTACTATTCTACAGAAGTTTGGAAAGATTTATTGGATGATCCTTTTTGGGACATACCAAAAATGGTAAAATTACACCTCAGAGTGGTTTTCTTAGTTAAATTTAATGTATTTATTGATTAAATGTCTTAGCAATAAAAAAGCTATGTCTATATATATATATATATATATATATATATATATATATATAAACACTGATCAGGCATAACATTATGTCCTTGTTTCTACGCTCATTGTCCATTTTATCAGCTCCACTTACTATATAGGTGCACTTTGTAGTTCTACAATTACAGACTGTGTTAGCCCCCTTTTACCCTGTTCTTCAGTGGTCAGGACCCCATGGACCCTCACAGAGCAGGTACTATTTGGGTGGTGGATCATTCTCAGCACTGCAGTAACACTGACGTGGTGGTGGTGTGTTAGTGTGTGTTGTGCTGGTCTGAGTGGATCAGACCCAGCAGTGCTGCTGGAGTTTTTAAACACCTCAGTGTCACTGCTGGACCGAGAATAGTCCGCCAACCAAAAATATCCAGCCAACAGTGTCCTGTGGGCAGCGTCCTGTGACCACTGATGAAGGACTAGAGGATGACCAACACAAACTGTGCAGCAGCAGATGAGCTATCGTCTCTGACTTTACATGTACAAGGTGGACTGACAAGGAGTGTCTAATAGAGTGGACAGTGAGTGGACACAGTGTTTAAAAACTCCAGCAGCACTGCTGTGTCTGATCCACACGTACCAGCACAACACACACTAATACCTAACACACACATTATGTATACATATATATATATATATATATATATATATATATATATATATATATTATATATAGATATATAATGACCAGGGTCCTGTCTCTGTGAAGTTTACAGGTTATATATATATATATATATATATATATATATACATGACACCTGATAGACATTTCAGCACAGCAAAGAGACAACCAAGACCAGACAGTCAGGACACACACAAAGTTTGTTTTTGTTTTTGCGGTGGCAAAACAAACAAACAACCTGTATGAGCTACAAACCTTTACATACAATGTTAAATTATTTGGGGTTTTCACTGGTCTGCCTAAACCTTTTCAGACACTGCGTCCACTGCAATGGACATCATGTGTTTTCTTCTATTTTTATGTTTTGTTGCACATAACTCCAGTTGAGACCTGTTGTCCATCAGAATAGACGTTTACCCGCCAATCAAACAGCAGCTTAGCCCCACCCACTGCATTGGAAAAAAAAAAATCAGCACACTGAAGAAAGACATGGCAGCACTGCAGCCAAGGAGGCAGAGTAAGGCCTCATTTGAACTAATTATATCTAATTTAGAACAATTTGTTCATCATGTTATGAGTTTATTTTGCTGCTTAGGAATGGATTTTGAAATAAAAAGTAAAATATCAATTATAAAGTAACAATGTTAAACGCAGGATTTTTAAAATCTTATTGTTGATTACAGTGGACGGTGGGTGTTGATGTATATTGTTCAGGCTAGTTTTTTAGTGCTGCTGCTAAAATTTTACTTAGCAATCACAGTGTATACAGACAAATAATACATTAAATGCAGTGAATAGTAAGATTTATTTTACAGAGTACACTTGGGGTACTTGGCGCTTGGGGTACTTCATTTAATTGACACTGGAAACATCTCGGAAATTGAAAGCTTGGCTTCAGTGGAACATAATTCGAGTCTGAAAGGGTTAAAATGTTGATTAAACAAATAATAAGTAAATAGAATGTAAGAGATATTATTGTTTTAGGCTATCAGGTTATTTTTGTGCTTAAAGGGTTCTTTGCATGGTTCTTCAGATTGATGGAGAATCTCTGGAATATGGTTCCATATACAACACATTCTCCATCAATCTGTAGAACCATTTCACTACGCAAAGAACCCTTAAAGCATGCAAATAACTCATGGTTCTATATAAAACCACTGTCTTTATTAAAGAAACAACGTACCTTGTACATTCCTGTGGGACACATAAATGGACAAACCTTTGTCCTGCTTGAAACCTGCGCAGAGAGTCAAAATAACTTCAGTACTCCTACTGGACATTTTTATAAGAGATTGTTGTCGTTTATAATTTTATCTTACATAATGAGTCCATATAAACTCACACAGTGGTAATAAATCGGTGATATGCGTATAAGCTGCGCAGCCTCAGACAGCTTAAATGATTTTCTTTCCAGTTTTAAAACGGACTGTTCCAAAATTTGTATATTTTGGTAACCGCAGCGGCGGTGCTTTTTGGCATAGGCTTACGATAAATCTGATTAAGTCATGATATCATGATGTCTACATAGGAATATGAGTAGATTTTGTGTTTTTAAACCTATCTATACATTTTTTGTGTGCGTTTTTTGATGGTACAATCCAGGAAGCAGCGTGTGCAGTGTTTTGGTTGAAGTGAGTGACCTCTCAGAGCTGCTCTGATTTACAGACACACTTTCACTCCTTTAAAAGCCTCTCTCTGGATTTTATTCAGTATATTCAGCGAATGTGCTCGTATGTTGACGTTTTAACCTCACCTGGGCCTGTTTACTGTTTAGCTGAGTGGCTAGCTACGTGAAAAAGTGAGGTTCAGCTCCTTCTGGACTGTCATCATCATCATCATCATCATCAGCATCGACAGCGTGTACTGTCCTGGCTAAAGAAGCTGCTCGCTGCCTCACAGGATCCCCAGCGTTAAGTCTCGCCGAGCAGGCTGGCATGTCGGATTTAACGCTGCTGATCGCGAGCCTCGTTGGGATCTTCCTCACAGCGCTCCTGCTGACAGTCTCGGTTTATGTGCTGTACTCTGGACTTCTGACGAACATCCGCATCAGGACCGGCTCTCCTCCTGTCAGGGGCATCACTGTAGCTTACAAGTTCAAAAAGGGACCTTACAAGGAGTGCGGGACGCTGTTTGCGGAGAGCAGCTCTGTAGCACCCCGGCTGCCCACGGTGGGCATCTTCTATGATGACCCAAAGAAGGTGAGGGAGATGTTCTGTTACTCAATCTTGTTCTATGTTGAGAAGTGTGAGCTTGCTTGATAACCAAGGGACAGTGTGGTGTAGGTTTGGCTGAGCCTCTCACTGTTCTTTTATGCCTAATGTGATCATTCAGAGTGGTGGTTTGATGTGAAATGCTCGGCAGTGGAACCAGACATCCAAAGTGGAGAAGCTCCCACACAGAATGGGAGTACACAAAATAGCTACAAACAGTGGTGGCTCTATGTTAGGTGCCGGTGGGGCCTGGCCCTACCAAGATGTTGCTGTGGAGCAGTGCACGACATGATCAGTAATTCAGTATAACAACTAATATATATATATATATATATATATATATATATATATATATATATATATGCATTTCTTCGTAACTAACATTGTTACATGTTTATTACATATGACAATGGTATGGCTGTCCGATACATTCCAAATATCTTGCTGTACCTGTTGTGTAAATGCCAGTAGGCTACCTATTTCTCCTAGCAGTTTTCGTTTGATGAGCGTCGGGCTGGCCCATCAGCATTCGTCTAAAGCGAGCAGGTAAAAAACATTTCGCACGTGTTCAACGTGCTTTCAATAACCAGCTGTGGGGCACGATCAGGTTGGCCCCATTCTGAGAGCAGCCAATAAAAAAATAATCAATTTACATACATCTAGATGATTAGTGAGCATCGTTTACGGTACGGCCGTTGCTACACAGTTCCCCATCAGTTGTGGTAGCCACTCGTAATAGCATGGCAATATGAGTCAAGTCGAAAATGTAATAAAAGTAACATTTCGTTCCAGCCATTAGAGCAGAGATTAGAGATTAAACGTTTGGGACGACACCAGCCAGAGGATTTCAACATCAATCAGTCTGGAAAGGACAAAAACTGCTTCTTCAACCCAGAGAAGTTCAAGAGAAAAACATGGCTAACTGTACGTGTAGCTAAAAACACTCTTCTGCTGTCCTTGCTTGCCCTTGCTATGCTATCACTTGAATTCATTCATGGATTGGTGGACTTTGAGAGAAAAGTTTTTGACAAGTTTGCCCAGATGAAAGATTGCTGAGCAGTGAACATCACTGGTGAGTCGTTCTGCATTATTACAAGGCGTGTTATTCTAGTGTGTTTCCCTGCTCTGAAATGTTGCTTTGGATATGTAGTTGCAGACCACAATGATCGTATCCCGATAGATAACTTTGGATTTGTAATGTGATGCTGTATAACAAGGTTTGGTGAGATCTAATGTTGTAATCATGTCACTCATATTCCTGTCTCCACGTCCACCAACTCCTGCACCGTTATGTTAATTTGTGACTTTGTGATTTCATTAACGGAGTGCGTTTATATTTGGATCAGGTTTGTGTGTAGTTCCATTGAAGAGTTGGCTGCTGCCCCTACAGTTTATTGTGCCCCACCAGGCTTTCTGTGGCAGAGACGCCACTGGCTACAAAGGTAGACACAGGAGAGGCTGTGATTCTGCTACAAGTAGAGCTCTTTTATTAAAACATGAACAGACAGGCACATAACATCATCCTGACTCAATCACGTTAGCTACAGGCTTTCAATCCATGGTGACCAACCCCTAACACAAAACACCCACACCCTCAGACACAATTGTTAAGACCCGGTCCAGGGTCAGGCCGTAAAAGAATGGTGTGGTATGAAGTGTATGCTTTGTGAACGACTGTGTGGTGTATAATAACAGTAATAGCCAATTCACAGTGTATTATAACTGTACAGTGCAAACGACCACTTTGTCTTGAGGTTTGGCCAAAACAGCAAACAGAACCCACACTAACTCCAAGACAGATACGAACTAGCCTTAACCAAAACAAACAAATAAACAAAAGACAAACAGCTTACCTAACTCCCTAAACTGACACAAAACTCAGGCAAAAACCCCAAAACCCAAACAAACTGGCAGCCAAAACTACAGCTGGTGAAGCTATTTAGAAAATCTGCAAAAAGATGATCTATATACAAAACATACAACAGACTAACAGGTTTAGAGGGGCTAAATCAAGTTCGCAACAAAGCAGTCAAAAGACCAAAGAGTCAGATATTAAACGAACAAGCAACAGGAATCAAGTGAGCTGTTGGTGGAGATGAGGAGGCCTCTTTGGTTCTTCCCGCCTGATGGTGTCATAACTAGAACTTAACTGGAGCACGGACTGGAGCGAGTGGTGATGAGTTGAAAACACGGACTGGATCACAGAATGAGGCTAAAAAACAGCAACACAATCTGGAGCAGACAACACAATAAAACACAAATAACACACCACACATTTTTATACTAACAAACAATGACATTAAAAACATAGAAGTCCCTTTTTACGAGTAGTGTGCACCTCCCATGATCCTCTGTACATGGCCTTCTGCGTGGCTGTGCCTCTAGAGCCTGCGTGAGCTAATAGCAGGACGCCACATTAGTTTAAAAAAAGTAGTGTTTGCTCTGAATGTATACAGTAATGTATTCCATTCTAATACATAAATTTACAATATATCTTGATAAGGCACAGGAAAAAAAAACATTTCTTTATTCACACTTCCTCGCTGCTGCTGGTTAGCAGTTTTCTTCATCTAATTCTTCTGTTATTACGTTTCATGAAAAATTTGCTTATCGTTTAAATTAAGTTCTGAAAATTTTTTTTTTTTTTTACCTCTTTCACCACCTGCTTCAGTCCACTGCTGCTCCCACAATCCTCTGAGCAAGACAGTACAACACCGATGTAAAACTGACTACTCACAAACATGTTCACTACTGAGGAGATTATTAGTTTGATCATCCCTCAAAATAGCTCAATAATACTGAGATTAATAACTGATCACATTGATTTATCAGTCTACTCAGGCTTTAGCAGAGCTCAGTAACACTGAGATTAATAACTGATCACATTGATTTATCAGTCTACTCACGTTTTAGCAGGAACTTTAGTGTGTGTAAATAAGCTGTTAATTGAGGTCCTTGGAGTTTATCTAATGAGCATGTTTGCTACGTGCCATGCACTGGTTATAAATAGTTAATAAACAAGCATTAACGGTATATATTTTTTAAATTTAGTGGGTAAGTATTCTAAAAATATTCTAAAAATGTAAAACGTAACTGTATCCTTTACAAAATGTAACTTTGACTGAATACAGATTCTTAATTTCTGTATTCTGAATGCATATTCCCAATACTTTATTCTGTTACATCCCAACCCTTTGAATATGCTGCCTGGTGCCTGATTTTTGATATAGTTTTTTTAGTTTTGGCCTAAAACCTATTTTTCAAAATACATTCACAGCGAAGTACATGCAGCAAAATAGGCCTTAAATAAAACTTTTTTTTCAAATTTATGACTATTTTACAATCATCAACATTACAAATAAAAACTCAGAAGACATGTAGGTTCACTGGTGGATTGGGTGGTAAATAAAATGGCTATATTTGTGTTGCCGACTTTGTGACCCCTGGTTTTTATCACCACCACTATAAAGAAATCTGAATGCTTAAGTTTCTCTGCAATTAACTATTTCACATCAAACCACTCTGAATGACCTTGTTTGCATCCCAAACACTGAATTATGCATACATTTTGAAAACCAGTGGAATTCCCCTTTAAGTGAACATATGAATGGCAAATGGTAGTTTATTACAAAGCAAATACAAAAAGTGCCATGAAGTTGTTAGTGTCCAGCCTCTTTCTACTCTGGTTCTTGTTGGTAGGTTGATAAGAAGGTCATACATGTATATATGCCTATATGGGCACCTTATGAAGAAATACACAGACGTATAAGGGTCATTCTACAGAAACGTCCACTTTCGTGTGCCTAGCATTGACAGATATATTGCACTTGAAAAACATGTTAGGGTTACAATTTATTCATATTTTAAAATAAAACAATGTTATTTTAACAATTACACCTTCTTGAGCCTAAATTTAGCAATACCGGTTTTTAAATCAATTATCTAGATTTCCAAGCACCACAGAAGAGCTCGTCCTCACAGTCATGTGTAAAGGCTGAGGCCATATTTTGAAGAAAAAAAAACACATTTTTCTGCAATTTTAACTACAATAATCTATACATGACTATGAAATATATAATTCAAATGACATAAAGAAAATAAATGCAAAATAACTATTATAAAATATATAATGAAAGTTGTGGTCCCCAGGAGTCGTGTCACTGGTGTTACTGCGTCACAAAAAATCTCTTATTTTGAAATAAAAGTCACACTAATGACATCATTAGATTTCCTTTTACCCACTTTCTGAGGATCTATGAAGAAAAGCACACGGTGAGTCCACTGTGTCTGGTGAGATTTTCTCATTTAGCTCATGATTTCATATGAAGCTTTTAGCTGAAGTCACTGGTGTGACCCACTTTATTCTTAGGTATTTGTGAAAAAATAAAATGCAAATGGATTAAATTACATATTTTGGTGGATATTCCATGATTGACAACATGTGGGTTGATGCTCTGTAGCAGCCATTTTGTAAAATTCATTTTTCATTAAAAATGTCTCTGGTGTTACCTTTCTTATGTGTAACACCAATGAGGATCAGTAACACCAGTGACTCCTACGGAGAGACAGAAAAGTGGACGTTTCTGTAGAACGACCCACGAAGGAAAAACAGATGAACAACTTGATGAATGTTACATTACCCAGTAAGTCACCATGCCCAACGCCTGTCATTGGCTAGAAGGGTTTTAAGCCACCCAGCATTGGGCTGTGGAGCAGTGGAACTGCGTTCTCTGGAGTGATGGAGCTCCATTCAGTACCTTTGGGATGATTTAGAGTAATCCAGAACTGATCACACAACATAAGTACCTGACTTCACTAATGCTCTTGTGGCTGAATGCAATCAAATCCTCACAGCAATGTTCCCACATAAAGCCTTCTCAGAAGAGTAGAGGCTGTTACTGCAACAAAGGGGGACAAACTTTTAATTTATTAATACCCTGGATTCTGGACATTCTGATATATAGTGTAAATGGACAGTGTGGATGGCC